TTAGTATCTAAAAAATAACTTACTTGACTAGTATATAATATAATAATGATAGACTAATAAAATCAATTATGGTTATACGCTTAAAAGTGAATAGTTATAACAGTCGTATTATTACACCTTATATTTTTAGAATTTATGTTGCATGTTATGAGTTAGGGACAAGATCTTTTTATACTGGTATAGATCTAAAATTTTTTACACTAAATCTGAATCTTTTATTTAATTTATATTTAATAGGTTATAATTTATTACTTCATTGGCCGCTAGATGTAAGTTAAATGAAGAGTTCAAATTGGGTGTAAGAGTTTTTTAAATTTACACTGGTGTAAAATAATTCTTTCTTTGTTGGTTAATATGAAGTAATGGAGTTATATATCAAAATATAGCATAAAAAATGATTTGTTAACAACAAATGAATTTCAATAAGCTTTGGTTAGATTTGTTAATAAATTAGACCATTAAGTTATATTTTTGTTCAATCTAATATTATTCTTACTTCAATATCATTATTGTATGTTTATTTGTTTATTTATTTCTTGAGAAATGATAATTACTTAGTGATTTTCAATCTTTCTAATTTCTTATTTTTAAATCTAGCAATATGAAATGAAATACATTTTTCTATTTCTTTTAAAGAAATTAATTTTTAATTGTTAATTTTTAATAACAATTAATGATAACATTGTACAAATTACTCAATCATTCATATGTTAAGAAGAATGGACATAAGAATTTTTCTCAGTTTTATGATAAAGTAAATAACAAATTTTATTTTAAAAGTTTAATACAAATAAAATTTCTCAATTACAATTTCTTTAATTTTTAAAATAAAATATAAATAAATTACTATTTTTAATTCACACAATGATTTATAATAACGATATATATTACTCTATCATTCGTTTATTATAAATTATAAGGGTACCAATTTAAGTACACTATCTAGTACCCTGTTCATGTGAATTATCTTGAATTTCAAGTAAAATAAATAATAATGATGTATAGATTACTCTATCATTCATAAATTGTATAAACATAAAATAAAATTGTTCATCCTATTTTTAGAAAAAATAAAATAAAATAAAAATATCCATTTTTCAAATTATTTTAACACTCTTGAAAAGTTTACTGTTATTTTAATATACATTATAAGAGACTACTTTTCTTTTCCCCTTACAATCTTTTGAAGCAGGTTTTTATTTTCAATTTTAAACTTTTCAAAAAGGATTTGTTATTCAGAAATACATAGCCCTAATTTTCTAAGAACGCTAAGGAATACATAGAAGCAGGAATCAAAACCTGTTGGTTCCAATTATTTTAAAACTTTTCCCCATTTTTTGAAAAAACATAAACAAATAAAATATCAAATTTAGGAATAAAATAAAACTTTAAATTTTGCACAATCTGTGGTAAACATTTTTACGAACATTGTGGAGATGCTAATATCTTTTCTAGCATAATTAGACTCTCAAAGTATCTGGTTAACAGATCATTCTTTTTTTTCTTTTTCTTTCAAATTTTTTTTAGGGTTCTTTAAAAATCTTGATGGCAACTCCTTCGATCTCTGTTTTCTCATTTCCCATTTTTGTTTCACTATTTTTCATTTTTTTTCCTTGGTCGCGACCCTGTTGTGACAAGGGCATTGACTTTGTGAGCCCTTTTTCTATTTTTTTTTGGATTTTCTTATATTTTGCTTATTATAGATTGTGTCTCTAAGTGGGTGGAGTCTAAGGCCACCTGTACTAATAATGCTCGAGTTGTTGATTTTTGCAGGTCTCACATTTTATGTAGGTTCGGCATACCTAGGGCCATCATTAGTGATCGGGGTACTCATATTTGTAATATATCCATGCAAGTTTGTCTTAGGATGTGTGGAGTTGTGCATCATGTTTCAACACCTAACCATCTTCAAACTAACAGATAAATGAAGGTTTCAAATAGGGAGATTAAGCGATTAGAGAAGATATTGCAACCAAATAAAAAGGATAAGAGTCAGCGCCTAGATGATGATTTATGGCTTTGTAGGTACATAAGGCTGCTTAATTGTAAGGCACCTATAGGGATGTCTCCTTAATAGGTTGTCTTTGGAAAAATTTGTCATATTTCAGTTAAGATAGAGCATCGAGCATATTGGACGGTTAAAGTTTGTCACATGTTTGTGAATAAGGCGGGTGACAAACGAAAACTTCAACTCCAAGAGCTTAAGGAACTTTGTTCGGAGGCATGTGAAAACTCTAAATTATACAGGGATAGAATGAAGAGGTTTTTTGATGCTACCGTTGCTAGGAAAGGCGTCCTTCGTTGGGCAAAAAGTCCTATATTTCCATTCTTGACTTAAACTTGTACCCAACAAGATGCATTCTAGGTGGGTTAGTCATTTTATAGTTAATAACATTTTTCTTTATAGTGTTATGGAGATCAAAAGTGACACCACCGATAAGTGTTTCTAGATCAATAGACATCTCAAACTTTATGAGCATCCAACACTTTAAAATGCAACCGTTGAGGAGCTTACACTAGAGGACCCACCATTTCCATGTTGTCTTAAGGGATTTTTCATTTTTCTTTTTGTTACCACTCTGAAATTATACTTATTCTCATCTTATTAATATTTCATTGTATTATTTTTTTTATCACATTGAGAACAATGTGTGGTTCTAACTTGGAGTTGTTGGGAGATTTGATTTTTCATTTTGCTGTCACTATTTTGCTATTTGTTTGCACTTTGTTGTTGTTTTCATTGAATTTAGGATTTTCATGAGTAGCAACATTTTTCAACATGTAGGGATAAAAGTTTCTTGATTTGATATGGATTGATCTCCTACATTCTTAAGTATTTAATGATGGATTGATAATTCAGTAATGAATTATTTGTGATGGATTTCTACTCTAGTGTGCTTTTAAACCATGTCATGGAAGTGAGTTTGTGTCATTTTCCTTCTTCCTTATGTAATTCACCCAACTATAATGGTACTCTCGAACTTAACTTGTTTCTTTTTTATGTATCATGTTCCATGTGCATGCTTTGATATGATTAAAGCCATTTTTTATTCTAGCTACTAGCTGTATAACCTACCTTATACATTTTTCATTGTTAGCAACTTTTGACTTTGTATATCTATTTCTTGATTTTAACCACAATTACCCTTGCTTTAGAGTTGATTAGGAATTTTGGAATTGTTTTGAGAAGAAGATCTTGATGATTATGTCCTACAATTTTTTAGATACATTTTATTTTGTTTGTCTAGGGTTTCTAATTGTATTCCCATGATTATTGGCTTTTGTTCTCAATTGCTCTTTTTCATCCCTAAGCTTAGTCATACTCTTTCATGTTATCCACCCTATAACCTTGGCTCTATTACAACCTTGATAAAGTCCTTTTGATCTTTACATACTTATGTGTTCAAATATGGAAATTAAGAAATTGTCAAGCCTACGACAATGTTAACTTATTTGGGTGATTTTTTTTAGAGTATACACAAACTTGGACACTTGAGAGATTATAAAGCATATCTTGGTTGCTTGAGATGTAAGAATGAGATCTATGATTTTCTTGATTCTTTGATTCTTTAATTATTGTATCATGTCTATTGCTTAGTTCATCCTTCATTCATTGATGAAGTTATCATTTTGTTTTTCTTATTATTTGTGTCTTATCCTTCGAGTCTTTTGTTTTTTCTTTGTTTTGTGTAGGAGGGCAAAGGTTTTAAGTGTGGAGTTGTTTGATAAATCATATTATAGTGACACTTTAGTATCCTTAGCACTACCTTTTAACACTATTTTTATCATTATTTCATTGTATTATGTTAGTCTTATTTATTTAGGTCTTAATTAGTAATTTTATCTATTTCTTACATTTTAATACTTTTGACCTATGTTCACTATTTTTTTCATAACTATTCATGCAAATAGAGTTTTTCAGTGATTTTAGTTGCATTGAAAAATTAACTCAAAGAATTTCGATTTAACATCTCATTCGCCGAATTTGAAGTTTTGAGTTGAAAATTACATGTGAAGTTAGCCCCCTAATGTTGTTACGAGAATTACAAGAATTAAGTATCTATAAGTAGTTTGCAATTAAGTTTTGAGCCTAATTAAACTTTGTAACCCATTTTACGTTGTGAACTTATTAGTTTAATTTAGTTTAAGGTTGACCTCATTAAAATGAAAGAAGTTAGTGGAATTAAGGATCTCTTTGAAATTTCTTCAGTTTTACATTTTTGTTGATTTTGGATTTTGAGTTTTTTCTTGTTTCTTCTCTTCCTTGCAAATTTTGTTATAAATTTTCCATGATAATTGCCTTTAAACCTACCTTTCTGTTTACAATTATAATGGTGAAGTAATTTCATAAACCAATCTACAAATTCAACAGTAAAATGATGAAATAATGTTTTCTATTTCAATCCAATTTAGAACCTTATTTATTACATTACCAATTCTATCACAAATACTTTTACTTCAATCTCAAATCGCATTGATACTACTCCAAATTTATTATTTGTGTGATCTCTAAACATTCGTTACGTAGTTCGAACTTTCGAAATCAAATTGAGAAGAATTACGATATCTAAACATTTGTTACGTAGTTCAAATTTTTGAAATCAAATTGAGAAGAATTATATAGAATCGATTAACAATACATATTCAATAATTATTCAAAAACTCATATTTAAGATGTGTGTTATTTAATTTGAATTCATAATCATGTTTATTCCTAATTACTCCATATAAATTGTTTTTTATTTGACTGAATATCCACCCACGAATAAACACTTGAATGTGTGCAGGAGAACACAAAATAGCTTACCAAGAAATAACTTATGATATTAGAGCTTTGCTAAGAAACTCCTCTCTCTTAGAAATTGAACTCAACTCATTGGTTTAACTTGAGAAGCAACTTCCCTTTTTTCAAGTATTAATTTTGGAGTCATCAATTATTCCCAAACAGATATTTCGTATTTCACATCCATACTTACGAACCTCTCAAAAGCTATATTTGCATTACATAGTCAATTGGAATCACCTCTGATGTAAGTCATTATAAACACTGAGCATCATTATTTCCTTCAATATGTACGAACAAGGTGAAGTCCAATTATGTCTACACGGGGAAGCAACTTGTTTTTTTTTTTTTCTCTAACACTATTTGAGGGAATTTTCAATATCTATTACAAACCGATATTTGACGTCCCTATTTATGAGCCTCTCAAGAGCTTCATTGGCATACTGGATTGGAATCACTTCTATATTTGGGTAAATCCCGTTTGCAGCACAGAAGTCAATCATCTCCTCTGTATCCTTTGTACCACCTGTAATACTTCCAGAAACAGTCCTTGCTCCTGTCAAACAGAGAATGCATATTTATGGTTCCTTTGCTTCGCAAGAAATACATGAATGAATGATCAATGATTATTCCAACAAACCTTTTTATGCTTTCAAAAGCAACTTACCTATAATAAGGCTTCCAGGGCTGAATTTGACTTCACTTGGGACCCCAACTAGAACAAAAACACCATATGTCTTCAACAGTGACATGTAAGGTTCGATCGGGTGATCACCAGAAGCTGTGTCAATTATGAAGTTCAATGATTTAGCTAATGCCTGCATGGGAATCACCACCAATTTTGACAATTAGTAAACTAGGCCACCCCTAAAGGCTAACTCAGCAGCGCTCAATTTAGGCTCAGATATCATTTTAAAATGAGAAAAGTCTGCTTTACTCCGTGATCTTTTGATTATGTACAATTTAGATTATAAGTTTTTAAAGTGTGTAAGACGGTGCCCTGTACTTCCAAAATTGTGTGAAGGAACCCTTCACTTATTAAGACATCCAATCTGATCATTAACTCTCCATAGAATGCTTTATGTTATGTGTAATTGCTCACCGTCATTTCCTCTTGATTAGATGAGACAACAAATTTGTCTGCACCAAGCAGGTTTAGTGCCTCCTCTTTCTTGGATATGCTAGTGCTGAAAACCGTTACACTCAAACCAAATGCCTTTCCAAATTTCACTGCCATATGACCAAGGCCACCAAGGCCAATCACTCCTAGAGATTTACCAGGTTGATTCATCTTGTGGCGCATCATGGGAGAATATACAGTGAGTCCAGCACAAAGCAAAGGGGCTGCAGAAGCCAAGGGATAGCCTTTTGGTATCATGAAGCAATACCTGCAGATGCAAGACCAAATATGATATGAACTGGCAATATAACCTGCTGTTTATATGAAATCAAACAAGTACTTTTATACCTCGATAATTTCAGGAAGAGAAGACCTCATAAAACTAATCACAAGCATCTAGCCATTTCTATTAACTTTACCTTTCATGGACTACTATGTAATTGGAGTACCCTCCTTTTGTAATTGTACCATCAAAATCAACACCATTAAAAGTGTAAACTGATCCCTTTGTACAATGAACTTCCTCTCCCTCAGTACAATACTCACAATCCCTGCATGAGTTGATATAAGTCCCAACTCCAACATGATCACCAACATTGAAACGGTGGACATTGGAACCAACTTTTGTCACAATCCCAGCAATCTCATGCCTGATTTGCAAAAGAAACACAGATATATTAGCCTAAGCACAAAAGATTTTCATCCATACAGAAAAATAAAGGCCACTTACCCAGGCACAACAGGATACATGGAATCACCATGTTTATTCCTTGTCCAAACTACATCAGCATAACAAACACCACAGTTTGTAATTTTAACATAAACGTCTTCGTTCCCAAGAGCCCTGAGCAATCATCGTCGAGAAATTTATGCAAAAAAAGATATGCAAGAGTGAGAAGAATAAATTTTAATCATCAAATCTCATTATTAATTGTTTGAATTAAAACATCTAAAATTACGTAAATTTTTTTAAAATGTCATGTGAATTTTTAAAAATAATCATATGACTTTTTAAATTTCATAACCAAAATCATGTGTGTATAGTTGTACCATCCAGATTTATTTTTCTTACGAAAAAGGCTCGTCTCATTAGAGAGAGAAAATGACTCGTAACACTTGTTTAAAGCCAAAACGAGAACAATAAAAATAGATTATGCAACAGTTAAAGATTAAAAGAAAAACGGGGGGGAGCGTTTTACACCTGCGACTGAATTTGTAAGGTGATAGAACTCCAGATACATCTCTTGCTGCCCATCCTAAGCAATCTTCTGCAACACCTTCGGAACTCATACTTTTTCTACTCCACCATAACGAAATAAGCAATCAGTTTTTGACGAATATAACATAAACAAGTTATGCATGAATTTACAGGTCATTATGCTCATTTGATCTCTAATAAATCATACAAGTTGGGGATAAAAGACCAACGAATGGTAGATCTGGCAATGGAAAAGAATGAATATGCGGAATCTTAATCATATCAGCGGAAATGAATGAGAATTGTAACGACGATTGAGTGTGGAAAAGGGCCTTTTTCTAATTCTCTATCGCAGTCTCACCTTTGAGTTTCAGCAGCGACTTCAATCTTCTTACACACACCGTCAGAGATTCCGAAAGACTAATAAATTTATGGTGTGTACCACCTAAAATTTTTTATGGATAGTGTAACCAAAAACTTTATGTATTAAGTTAAAAAAAATTTATTATATATAATTTATTTAAAATTATAATATTTGTTACACAGTTTTATTATTATTATTATTATATATTTAATCTTTTACATTTTCTTTATATTTTTTATAAATTTTTAATTTTAAATAAAATATAATTTATATTAAATTTATTTAATAATAAATTATTATATTTAAATAAGTTAAAAAATAACTAAATTTTTAAATAAAAATAAGATGTAATTAAAATTAAAATAATATTATATTAATATTTTTTTATTTCTATTATTATTAATATTTAATTATTATATTAATATATTTATGTTAGAATTATTTTTTATTTATATTAAAAATTTATTAAAAAAATTAAATATACAATAATATATATATATATATATATATATAATAAGACTATGTAACAAATAATTTTAAATAAATTATATATAATAACTTTTTTAATTTGTTATGTATCTCTTTTTTATCGATCTAAATTTTGAGTACGATACTTATAAAAAAATTTTATGATACTAAAAATTTTACCTAAATTTATATATAAAAAAGAGTGCGATGAATATATCTCCCCATGAAGTTATTATTGTGCTTTTTTTTTAATGAAAATTAAGAACATACAATATAATTAGTGAAGATACTCTTTAATAATTATTTATAAATATTAAATTATGAATATCTAGCCATTTAACAATGTCATATAAATACATTAATCATAAATTTTAATTTTTAAATAAATTAAATTCATAAAAATTAAATTTTATAAATAATATTTATTTATATAAATATATTAAATCCTTGTTATTGTTACTTATTTTTAAATTTAATATTTTAAAAAAATTTGTTGATCTTAATTTTTAAAATTAAATTTAAGTATGTAAATTTAAAATAATATATTTATTATATTAAAACTGTTAAAGAGTTTAATAAACATATATTTTAATAAAATTTTACTACTTTTAGTTGCTTAAATTAAACTTAAAGATTAATGTTAACCAATTTTTATAAATTTAAAACAATTATTTTATTAAAATTAAATATTTACATTAAATAATATTAAATTAAATAGATAAAATTATATATTATTTTTTCAAATTAAAAACTAATAAAATAGTTTTAAAAAATCAAAATATTACTCTATAAAATTAATTTATAATAATAATATCTATTTTTAAATTAAATTTTAAAATATAATTTATTTTAAAATAAATTAAATTTAAAATATAATTTATTTGAAAATTATTATAATTTTATTAAATTTTTATCATTTTGATAGATACTATTTATATTTATAAAATAAGAGTAAAACATTTTTTTAAAAAATTAATATTTTATGAAATTTGTATATATATTTATTTTAAAATAAATTATTTGTGCATGCAATATTAACTATTATATAATTATTATTATTGCTCATGTGAAGGTTTTTTTTTCTATAATTACTTATACAGAAATAGAGTATTATAAATATTAATTATTAGATTTCTTACAAAGCTTTAAAAAAGGAAATAAAATAAAATTAAAGTGATATTTTTTAAGTCGGGTGTTGATTTGATAATCTTTGTTGCTAGAATTTTTACATCGTAATATTCTTATGCCTTTGACATAATTAGAATATTCCATTTGCTTGCATCTTATTCTCTTAACGTCGAAAGTTAGCCGCCTTAATTAAATATTATTTAGAGCAGATACGTTAGTGCCTTAATTGTTTGGTGCCTTAATTAAATATGTGAAAATTATGCTCTGAAAGTCATAGTTCCCTAATGAAATATGAAATTTCATATTCATATAATAAAAATATATAATAATTTTATTTATTTCTATCACATTATTTGTATCTCACATATATTATTATCTGAATTGTTATATATTTGTTGTATGAATCTTCACTTAAACATTATAATCAAATTTGTAGGAACATTTTTCTTACTATACATAGCATTTCCGAAAATAAGATGGTTTGATTTTATTCTTTGTAGTAAACAAAGAAGTACAATTTTCATTTTTTTGAAAATTATTACATGAATTGTGAAGTGATTTTAGTTAATAAATTATGAATGAGAACAATTATGCTAATAAATTCTCTCATCCATGCCTGGTTAAGTTATTGGACAAACTTCTATATATATCATAAGTTTAAAAAAATGCTTAAGAAAATACACCCAGAAAAGAAAATAGTAATATAAGCAAACTGTACAGCTATCCTATTCCTATCACTACCAAAATGTAAAAGAAAATCATCACCATACATTTCAATAATTTTCTTCTACGAAAACTTCCCTACTTTATAATACATTGTTTTAAACTGATGAAAAAGTTGTGATTGTCAAAGGATAACAAGTTGTCACAGGCATCCACTTCGGCAGAATAGGCAATTGAGCTTCAAATTTGAGCACTTGGATCACTTGCATCATAGAAGGCCTGATTCTATAATTTGGGAAAGCACACCAAAGGCCTATAACTGCTAACCGTTCCATTTGTTCCTCATCAAATGCTCCACATAGCCTTGGATCTGCTACTTTAAATAGCTCTCCCAATTCATAGAGCTCCCAAACCCACTCAACTATGGTTATTTGACCCTCCTTGGCTTTAAGGTCAACGGGTTTTCTTCCACTTGCTATCTCCAATAGAACAATCCCAAAGCTGTATATGTCAGATTCCTTATAAGCTTTGCCTGTAATGACATATTCTGGTGCAATGTACCCCTTGGTCCCAGCTATAAGTGTGGTTTGTGACCCTTTTTCATGATCCACCAACCTAGCTAAACCAAAATCACCAAGCTTAGCATTGAAACTTGAATCCAACATTATGTTGCTTGATTTAATATCCCTATGAAGAACACATTGTTCCCATTCTTCTTGCAGGTACAGCATTGCTGAAGCCAAGCCTAGAGCTATGTTGTACCTTACTGGCCATGTCAAGAAGCCTTTTCCTCCATATAAATGAGAATCTAAGCTACCATTTGTCATGAATTCATATACAAGGATGAGATCATTTTTCTTATGGCACCAACCAAGGAGCTGTACCAAATTCTTGTGCCTCAATTGGCTAATGATCTTAACTTCAGTTGCATATTCCTTAATCCCTTGCCTAGACTCTTTCGATATCCTCTTGATAGCAACATAAGAGTTCAAGTCTTTCAAAAAACCTTTATAGACATCACCAAAACCACCTTGTCCAAGCTTCTCAGACTCAGAAAATTTACTTGTTGCACTTTCCAATTCATTGTAGCAAAACCTCTTGGGCCCAATTCCCTTTTGGAATTCATCATCCATGTTTAGATCACATTCTAAGACTTCTTCCGTAATTCCTCTAGTCCTTTTCCACAATAAAAAACCAGCCAATACTAGCAAAATCACAAACAAACCAATCCCAATTCCTAGTCCCACAGCCAGTTTATTACCACCAGTAGCATCACTGAGTTGTAAGCTTGAACTAAATGACCATGACTTTAGAACATGCACCTCAAAAGAACTACCCGTGGCGGCTGAGAAGCCAAACATAACCCACTCAGGTAAATGATCTCTCAAATCAACCTTGTATGAAATGCTGTTTTCTACTACAGCACCAGTGCTGTCATGGTAGCCAGTGAAAGACACCCTTAAATTATAGGTGGAGGAGTTGTAATCAATGCTACAATCATAAACTTTATTTGCTGGCATATCAATCAACCATGGAGCAGTTATATTAGACATCATAGAGTTGAAATTCACACCTACATGAGGGTTGTCAGGGTCCCATGAATTCTTGAAGGTGTCAAACTCCACAGCCACAAATGAGTAGGGTGTTGAGTTCAACACTTGTTTACCATCCACAAGGCCAAGACCACCTCCTTCTACAATGTCAGTTAAAAGAGGAAGCATTGGATCTGCCAAAAAGAATGCCAACCCATCTCCGTAAGGATTGTCATTTGAGAAAACAACAAATGAAAATTTGGTTGTGAAGTCAGTGAGTTTTCTAGAGTTCATATCCCATAGGTGCATCTTTTGAAGACGTGTGACTCTTCCAACACTGTAACTGTTGCTTTGTCCTACACTGCTCAGAGTTACTCGTATTTCTGAACGTGAAACTTCTGCATCTCCTTCCAGTTTCAGCTGTAGATCACCTTTAGCAAAGGAGTTATAGCTGAATGATTGTGGATTTGTATGAGGCAGGAATAAAAGGGTTACCATTGCATAGCACAACATACGAGTTGTTGTGCTAATATCATTACCAATATGCCAATTAGCCATTTTGGTTTCAATCAAGCCTAGCAGGCACATTGTTAGCACAGCAAAGTCTTGGCATATATATGTACATAGCTACATTATTTTATGTCCTTCTGTGCTATTTTTATTAAAATTAAAGTTTTATATTAGAAGTGACATAACAAAGGGTTAATTGGTTGCAAAACAAATTATTAAATAGTCATTTTTTTATTAAAAATATATAATGTCTAATGTTTTTTCTGTATTAAATTCTATAACTTTTAATGATATTTTATTATACATTAAAAAATTGTTAAAAAAATGACACTAAACCCATTTAAATTAGTGCTTCTAAGTTTTTGTCTAAGTTGGGAAACCATTGAAGAATAGAGTACAGTAGCTTATGGATGTTATAGGTTTCAAGATGACAGCTATGAATTTGGAGCATGTTGGAAGTTCCTCCGAAAGTGATCACATTGTTCTTAACCAACAAAATAAGAAAAAGCCATCGCTCCGAACCATGGTCTGCACTCTGCAGCATTGTTGTTTGTGAAATCTTCAACGTTGAATCAGTCATTACTTTGGCTGTAGACGAACAAATTAAAGGGAAAAGACAGTTCTTTCCTCACGTATTTAAGAAACACTGGACAGTTAAGTTTAATTAGCTTTAAATAATGGAGCAAAATTTTGAGAGGATTAGTTAGTTAAACCAACGAGAAATTTGTATTCATCAGTTGGCACGGAAGTTGGAATATACTTAGATCAGAATATATTTAATTTGTGCTTATATCAGATAAGTTATTATAAGAGAAAAATAAAAAGAAAATAAATATTTTCTTTGAAAAATTAAAAGTAATTCATATTTTTAAGTTTTAACAAAGTTAAATAAGATAATTTTTATTAAAATAAACAATTATAAGTTTATTTTAATTTATAATATAAATTTGATTTAAATTTAATTAGAAAACTACTTATTTAAATAATCATTTATATAATAAATTTATTATAATAAAGTAAAATAACTTGTTTTGATACGTGATATATATATATATATATATATATATATATATATATATCTTTTAATTTTTTTATTTTAGTAAAAATTTATTAAAAAATTTATTCAATCTAAACTTAGCATAAAAAATCTTCTAATGTGACATATAACTAAACTTTTGTGATGAATTATACTAATGTAAAAATTACTTGATTAAAAATTATCTTTTGCATTAGTTAAAAAAATTTATATAAATATAACCAATATAGAAAGTAAATTTTTTTTATATTAATGGTAACAATCAACAGAAAAAATGTCATTAATGTTTATTAATGATGTTAATATTTCTTCAACAATTTAGCAAGTAATTTTTTAATTATATTAATATTCGTTAATATAATTAATAACATCAATAGTGTTAATGTATGTCAATGCTTATAATCAATATTCATCAATAGTATCAATATTTATTAATGTTTATTAATATTTACTAGAGAATTAATCTTTAATTAGTGAATCTATAAATGAAAGCATGTAATATGTTATGAAAAGGAAAACATAGAATGAAAAAAAATAAAATCATTAATTATCTAATAAGAGATTATATTCATAAATGAGATAACTAAAAATACTAACACAAATTTAAGAATGTAAACAAAAGTTATATATTTGTTTCAATTTATGTTATTTAATTGACACACACATCCTAAAATGTTAAGTTTTAAATTAATTTTACATTGATTATAAAACAATTGATTTAAAAAGTTACATTCTACGTCAGATATAGAAACAACTAATATAAAAAATTATTTTTTAAATTATTTTTTTACATTAATTTCTCACATTTATAAATATAAACTCTAAGTGGACATGACTTTTAATATAAAATTACAATTTATGTAAATTATATGTATATTTCCTATAATTTTTTGACATTGAATTTTAGACAATTTTTTAAAAAAATTAATATTTTTTTTATTTTTAATTTTTTTTGTCTTTCTTAGTGTTTTTTATGTTTCATAATTTTTGTTAAAAATAAGTATATTAGAATAATTTATATGTGCTAGTCTTCTTTAAATTAAATTTTATTTGATGTATTTTTTATTTTTAAAAAATTAACTTATTTAAAAATCATAAATTTTATATCAATTCAAATTTAAATTGATACAAAAAATATTTTCTACATTGATCTAGTAATTTTTAAAAAATATTATTATGCCTTTTATTATATCAGTATTAGTATTACAAATAATAGATATAAATTTGAACTGTCCATAGCTAGTGCATGTTTAGTGATAGATTATTTTACAAGTTTTATATAAAAAATTAACAAAAACATATATTTTTATAAAATTAAACTAACCACGTACTAAAACTTCAACACAACTATTGAAAATTGTTCTTGTTTGGATACACTAGCCTTCAGGAGTATCTTTCTCTGTCTTTTGGCGTGTCATCTTCGTGGAATATTATAGATTCTTCTATATCGTGACGTGGGGGAGAAGGTACCTGCAAAGGCACTCTAATGATGAAGTCAGTAGTCGGTATAGGACAATAAATGTTGTTTTATATTCAAAAGTCAACTATTTACCTATATCTCATACTTTTCTTTTATAGGTGAGGTATTGAGTTAATAAGCTTCGTGAATCAACCCTGTCTTTACTCATCTGATTATTTAGGTAATTAACCTTTTTGTTCAATGATTATTTATTTTAGCTTTTAATCATATTATTGACTTATTATGACTGGAGGGATATCCATTGTTTATATTAGGCCGAAGATGTATTTAGATTCTTCTCTCCGATGTAACGACCGGGTAGTGCCTTATTCAGTACACTTGTCTCCCAAGCCCGAAGAGGTATGACGTAAGGGCTTTAGATGTGTTTAGCGTTTTTGTGCTATGACTTTCTTTTATATAGGTCAAAAAGGTACGATCAGTGAAACTGATAGGCTACTTGATTTCCTGTCTATGTGAGAAAAACTGAATTATCCAATGTAATCTTGCCTTCCAAGCCTAATAGAATGATGTGTTGGCGTTTTAGGGTTTCGGCAGACTAGAGTTTTAGCATATTAGGGTTTCAACAAATTAGGGTTTCTTCGTATTTCGTGCTTTAAAACGAAAGGTTGCTCGTTCATATCCGTTAATTTGGAAGAAATCTGACGGTTGAGAAAGGGGGTGACCCTTCATTGCCCGAAGCAGTATGTTCTATAAATAGGTAGTGGTTCAGGCACTACGTATGCTTTCTGCTCTGCACCGAGGGGTATACTCTGCTAAATTGCTGAAGTTTTCTCTCTTTTAGATTCTAAGGTATGTTTGTTTCACTTTGCCTTTTTATTCTCTTCTCTTATTCTTGTATGGCCAATTCAATCGAGTGAGAGGATTCCTTATCAAACCAATCAAGGCCAAATATCATTTTTGCTAATGAGGTAGGTCGTGTGTCTGAGACTGAAAGGGTTGAAGGTATTTCCTCTCAATCAGTCAATATTGTAAGAGATCTGAATGAGAGTGGTACGGATTTTTGAGATGAAGCCGAGTCATCCAATGCTGATAGGGAGGGCTTTGAGTCAGACGAGTCTTTCTCAAATGCTAGTCCTCCAATAGAAAGGCCCAAGTTTTCACCTTATACAATTCCTGGTTACGAATGGGTGGATGGTGATATAGTCGTGTACTTCTCACGCTTCCAACAAAATAAGTGACTACAATCCTTTATAGATCAATGTAACATATCTTGGTGGGATGCTTCGGATCCCTATCCGATAACTGTTAGTGTCTGCCAAGGGGATGGCTTGAGAGACCCCGAACTAGTGTTTTTAGGTGGCGGTGCTGAGATGGTCGACACTTTTTTTGTATATGAATGTATGTTTAGGGTATTAGGTATAGTACTTCCGTTTGATGATTTTCAAAGGGGTGTATTAAGAGTCTTGAACTTCGCGCCAACACAACTTCTTCTGAACAAGTGGGTGGCAATACAGACGTTCAGAATCTTGTGTAAATTTCATTATATCGAGCATAGTGTACGTTTGTTTCTTTATTTATTTTTTTTGTACCCGTCCTTTAGACAAGGTAAGGTGGGTATCACTAATAAGGTAGGTCGAGCTGCCCCTTTTTAAACCTTATACTTCTTCTTTCAAGAGTTTTAAAATCGGATACTTTAAAGTAACCGTCCACCCTATCGGTAAAAAAATATTTTTTTGATAGTAAAGATAAACCTTTTTTCCCTTTTCAGTGGACCTGAGTCCCTCGTCGATATGACATGTGCCCGGAAGAGATGTTGAACTAAGATGAGTTATCAGCTTTAGAGTATATAAAATCTCTTCTTCATGAGCTCCCTACTCGAGCATTTGTTCTTTTGCCTAAATCTCCTAAACCCCGATTGGACTTAGAGGGTATGCTTTACCACCTTTGCTCTTATTTTTGTCAACCTTGTTATATTGATTTGACTCCTTGATCTCGTTGCAGGTATAATGACGCAAAAAGGATTTAAGATGTCCTATCGTCATGCTCGTTGAAGAACACCACCACCTTCAGCTAGATTGTGTTACAAAGTTGGTCGAGACATGTCCTTCTCCCCAGGATCTTCCTCTTGTCGAAGGTCATACAAAGAAAAGGAAAGACAAAGGAAAGGGGAAGGATTCCGAAAAGGAGCGAAAGCGTAAACATGCTCGTGTCGAAGGGTCGACTGGTCCAAGTAGCTCTTCTATACAGACCGTCATCCCTCCATTGGTCTTTACCGATACTTTAGTTGCCAAGGAAGTCCATGCTATCAAGCTTGTATCTCTAAACTTGTTATTGGAGAGCGGGAGAGCTGTTGTAAATAAACAAGATAACAGGTCTCGGTGGCAGTGGTACTGTGAGCTGCAGACCTGAGCTATGGTGATGGCGCGTAGCTTGGCTTTGGAACCTTTGCTTCAGCTAGAAAAGGTCCAAAGCCAATTCTCATCAGCCTAGAAAGCTTTGGAGGAAAGTGAAGAAGTCTTAAAGGGCACTTCAACGTTATTGAGGATCGGCTACACGCAACCGAAGAAGCCTTAAAGGCCAAAAGCTTGGAGT